CAGATCCTTCAGCCTGTCAGTGTGTGTCACTCCCTTCAGGATAAAGAGACTCAGTTCCTTCCGCCTGTCAGTGTGGGTCACCCTCTTCAGACTAAAGAGACTCAGTTCCTTCAGCCTGTCAGTGTGGGTCACTCCCTTCAGGATAAAGAGACTCAGTTCCTTCCGCCTGTCAGTGTGTGACACTCCCTTCAGACTCCTGTCCCTGACCCCAACCTGAAATATAACCCCACCTGTACTCCTGTCCCTGACCCCACCCTGAAATATAACCCCACCCCTACTCCTGTCCCTGACCCCACCCTGAAATCTACCCCCCTAACCCCCCTCCTTGCCTAAGTCCGGTCTGCAGGCCTAGTTGGGTTTCCTCAGTGAGGCGCAGTAGTAAGGGTCAGGGGCTCTGGCCTCCTCAGGGGAAGGTTGCAGGTTTAAGATGGTCTATCTGTGAGCAGGGCCTTTCACTCCTGCAGCTCCTGTGTCAATGGGTGCAAATTTACTGCAAAGAGGAAACAGTCAGCACCCCTAGAACCAGATCACCCCACCCCGGAGAACAATTTCACTCAGTTCTCAGCCAGGAAGGATCTGTACTGCTGCACCCCAATAACTGATGGTGCTGCACCACAAACCGATGATATCGAGCCCCGTTGTGAGCTGCTGTCTTTGTGTTGTCTCAGGGTGTCCGTCCCCTCGCCGGGACGGAGGTGGCTGACTTCCTGCTGGATCAGCCTCTGGGATCCAAGACCCCGATCGTCCCCGGAGTTCGCACCACTTTCTACACCACCAGCCTCTGCGAGAGGGTAAGAGCTTCTCTCTGGACATGAGCACGCAGCAGTCAGTCCTTCTGTCTCTTTCGGCTGTGAGCTGGGGATGAGTTAGAGGTATACTCCAGACTTGGAGACATCTACATTGGAGAAACAGGAAGGAGACTCGGAGACATCTTCTCAAAGACAGTTTTCCGATCTCATACATCAGAAAGACCACCGAAACCAAAATTATTCTGCAGCTAGGATCACACATTCTCCCTTCTCTTAACGACAGACTACTGTTCTTTTAAATTTTCTCCATTCATTGGAAGTTTCATTTCACACCTCTCTGCACCCATTCTGACTGCACACCTCTTGATTGGCCTCTCTTTCTGTCCCCTGCTCCCGCCTCTCACTCCTCCTCCCTCCCAACCTTTGTTCTCCCGCTACTTTACCTTTGCCTACTGCCCTGTCTCTCTCACACCTGAAGAAGGCTCCACGGCCAAAACGTTGTGTTCTCTTTCTTCTTTTTTTCAGCATGGAATAAACCTATTACTTGTTCCTTTGCAGCCTACGCATGCTGACGCAGCTCCCCACCTGAATTATTATTATTATACTGTGAAGTTGACCCCACCATCATGGCTCAAAAGTCGAGAGCCATGGTGTGGCCTTGAGCCAAGATGGCTGCCTGTTAACTGAGGAAGCAGCTCCAAGAATGAGGTACAGCTGGTCTGAGTGAGCCTTTAGCACTCTGGAGGATGTTTTACTACCACATGGAGAGAAAGGAGCTGTTAGGATAGGATCTGTGTGGAATCCCACTCCCTCTGAGTGCTACATACTCACCCAGACCGGCTGTGCCTCATTCTGCAGCTTTTCTCAATGAACAGGTGTCCATCTTGGCTCAAGGCCTGACCTGTGGCCCCAAGTTTTGAGCCAAGATGGTGGCTTTTTCACAGAGCCCCCTTTTAGTACAGCAAAGGTTCCTTGTGGGAAACCCAAAGGGGGAGTGAGAGTCAGAGCCCACAGTTGAGCAGAAGAGAGATTCAGTGAGGTTCTGCACCCGTCTCTGTCCAGTCTCGGGGACTTCACCATCCTACTTCATCCTGCATCACAACCTGTGACTATCATTACCATTAGTATACTGTATATAGCACCAAGGCGCTGTACAATTAAACAGTCCAGCAAGAGCCGCAGGGAATTCCCCTCCAGTTCAGTTTGCTGTTGAACGAATGCGCTGGCGCCCCCTGGTGGCTGTGGGCTGACATGTCGCCTGTCCCCCTCGGCAGCTGCATCAGGACAGCGCGGATTTTGTGCTGACCGACCCCAGTGGCCGGCTGCTGCACAGCACCTACAACAGCCTGCACGACCCCAACCTGAAGCAGTTCTTCAGCCAGCGCGACCGGCAGCGCCTGCTCGTGCGCCAGGGCCTCCTCACGCCGCAGAAGAAGGTGAGTGAGGATGGAGGCCAGGGGCCGAGGACGCAGGCGGAGGGCAAGGGGAGAGGGTCTCCCCACACCCTCCTGTAATGCTGGCTCTGACAACCTCGGCCCCTCCGTGACCTCTGTGACCCAGGAACTGATTCTGACTGCGGCTGCCCCATGAGCCCCCTCTGGAAACCCTGAGGCTGAGCGCCTGAATGGCTCCTGCTGAGCCCAGACCCAAGCCCTTGCCTCTGCACCTGCCCCTGACCTTTAACCCTGCTGCTCATCTGATGTGTGAGCAACAGTAGAGGTCAGAGGTCACACCCAGTGTATTGTG